CTTTTAGAGTTCATCTCCATTCACCCAGCCCTTTTCACTATGCTCCTGCTGCACTGGCCTTTTTTGCTATCAGGCAAGACCATTGCAAGACTGTTTCCCTCATTTCACTCTGATCTCTGCTCACAGAGGCCTTTCTGGGCTATTCTTCTAAAATAGCATTCATGCAGACCACTACTCTTTGCCTTACTCTCTTCCTTGTTTGAGTTTTCTTCGTTGCACTTACCTCTTATTAGCATTCTACTATATATTTATTTGTTTGCTCATTTATTGCCCATATTCTCCACTAGAGCAAGAGCCCCTTAGGGCAGGGCCATGTCTGTCTCCTCTCCTGTATCTCCAGCTCCTAAAATAGTACTGGTGCTAAGTACTTAATTGAATAAATGAGTAGGTGAATCTTCATAGGAACAACAGATGACATCCCGAGGATAGTTACCAACACTAAGAAAGAAGGGGGCCGGGGTAAATCTTTGGGGAAATATTTACGCTGAGGGCAAAAGAGACATCTTAAACGCAGTGAAATCAGTCTCATTAACCAGGCATGAAGAAAACATAGCATACCCTGGGAACTCAACAAGGAAAGCATCAAGTTGGGCTCCTCTCTCCACCCCAACTATAAGAAAGTTTTCCAATAGGAAACCTGACAACACACCAAAACCTGGACAGACATGACAAGTCAATCTGTCAGCCCAAGAGGGTGCTACCTCCTGTCACTCTGAAACACTCATTTAAAAGTATTCAAATCAGGATCCCTAGGCCACAGCACTGCCTCGGGTGCCATTGCCTCTGAACCGGGACAAAGCAGCAGCTCCAAGAGACCCTGGGAATTCCTGTGGGCTGCCTGAGGCTCTCCAGAAGGTAGGGCGTGATCCTTAAGAAAACACTCAAATGCTGGGGAGTGACCTCTTTTATTAGGTTCACCATCTTAACCGCAGAGAGACCATAGTGTTTGTCCATAGCCTGAAATACTCAAAGGCCGTGGTGTTGAAAAGAGGGCCAGCCTTCAGGTCTCTTTGTCACCATTAATCCTGGTCCCCACTGGTCTCTCCCTTTTGCATCAGAAAAGCTTTCTTTTTTTCTTTTTTTTCGAAGAGGAGGAGAAAACAGCTGTGAGGATTTGAGAACGGGATTTTAATGGTCACTGAAGACACACAAAAGCTTTGCTGTGATGGTGAAGTGTTCTGGGGGCAATTGACTCCTTTGTCTGGGGCAGCAAAACAAGCTGGCTGCTCAAGGAGAAAAGAGATGCAACTGGACAGGGATGGAGATCTCTTGAGGCCAGATCTTCAGCACATTTGCAAAGAGCTGTTTTCAGGCATCTCTTCATGACATTTCAGAATTGCTTTTTAGTGTTTGGCTCATTTTTACCTTGAGAAAGAAACAAATTAATCTGGAAGGTTGTTGGCATGGATTATTTTTGTAGGTCTTGTAGGTATTTCTCTCTGGAAGGAAAATAGAAACTGTGAGTGACAAAGATGAGTTTGTTAATGTGGAGCAGGCCTTTCACACTGAGAAAAAAGAATCAGTGCTTTCTTTGGTGGGGGGGAGGAGGGGGATGGACTGAGAGGCATTTCTCAGTTCTTTGCTCACTTGAGAAATTGTAACAGATGTGGGTTATTGTAAGGCTTCAAAAAATGTAACCTTGGAAAAAAAAGGTTTTGGGGGGAGGCGGTCAATAGTTTTAAGGAGGAGCGGACATCCATAACAGCAGGAGTCCATTTAGTTACTCTTTGCAGTAGGAACCAGGTCATTTTTGTCCACTCACAGAGGGAGTCTTTTTCTGACAGAGGAACTGGGATGGAAACAGACCAAGCTGATCTGACTCCAAGTTATGATTCGTGGGGCTGTTGGAATCATTGTTGTCCGTATGGGCACTGTCCCTTTAGGTGAATGGGTGTTACAAAAACAGCCTTTCCCACAATGGAAATGGCTTGGGCTAGAGGACCCCCAGTCAGCCTTGGTTTATTTACTTCTTCCAGTCTTCGTGACAGTTGACTTGTTAGAGTCATGAAGGGGTTAGCTCGCATTTACTGTCTGCTGTAGGCACTGGATGGAGAAGGCATTGGCACCCCACTCTTGCCTGGAAAATCCCATGGATGGAGGAGCCTGGTAGGCTGCGGTCCATGGGGTCGCTGAGAGTCAGACACGACTGAGCGACTTCACTTTCACTTTTCACTTTCATGCATTGAAGAAGGAAATGGCAACCCACTCTAGTGTTCTTGCCTGGAGAATCCCAGGGGGATTCTCCCAGGGGGATTCTCCCAGGGGGATTGCCTGGGGGAACCTGGTGGGCTGCCGTCTATGGGGTCGCACAGAGTCGGACATGACTAAAGTGATTTAGCAGCAACAGCAGCAGTAGGAATAGTCAGGTGGGACCCAGGATAAAAAGCCATGAATTCCTTGTGCGTAATTCAGCCCTGCTTTTCATGGGTGATGAGCTGAAACAGAGTAATTATGGAAACCATTATCCAGTAGGGCTACATTTAGAGACTAAGTCTGGAATTACAGGCTCTGTCTGCCCCAGTTCAGTGCATCATATCCACTATAATGTCATTTGCCAAGAAAGGAAGAGTTTAGTTCACTTTTAATTTTTAAAAAAATATCATAAAATTAAATAAAATATATGTGAATATTATAAAAGAAAATCCAAACAATATAAAAAAGTATTAAGATTTATATTTTAGTGTAGACTTTCTTGACTGATATCTTTTCATTGTAAAAGTAATATTTAAAGTGGCATATTTCAGCTTACTATGATTTTTTTTAAGTCTCGTTTCTGTTTTCTTTAGATTATGGAGTAAATAATGAAAATATTTTTATTACCAGTAATAGAGAAAAAGTACAGAAGCAAATTGCACTTGTAGGATAGGATGAAAACCAATATTACCCCTTACACACATTCAAGGGCTATAATAACTAATTTTATCATGTGATATTTTGTTTTCTAGTTCTGAGCAGCTTAGGTATAAAAGAAAATGTGTTCATTCTAGTCAAACTCCTCATATGCCCCATAGAGAATCCTTGCAAAGTCTGGAATTGTGATTCAGTTGGCGCTTTCGTTCAATGATCTTTTTCCTCTTCAGACTCAAAGCTCTTGATCTCATTGTAGGTGTATTTCACAGATTAGTTGTGGGACTTTGGCAAAATTATTTAATGTCTCTAAATCTCTGCTTCTGTGAAATGACGCTAATCATAGCACCTTGCTCCTTTGGGTTGTTTCCAGGACCAAATGAGATAATATGTGTAAAGCTTATTGCACGGTTGCCATGTCCTTCTCCAGGGGATCTTCCTAACCCAAGGATCAAACCCGTGTCTCCTACATCTTGTGCATTGGCAGCAGGGTTCTTTACCACTAGTGCCACATGAGAAACCCTGGTAGATCACAAGTAGTCAACAAATGTTAGCCATCAGAAAGCGTGTTTGATGGTTCTGATGATGTTGTTTAAGTATTATACGAGGGAACCCACTTCAGTGTATTTAGTTTATATTCATATCCTAAAATAAGATACAAGATGTGTGTTGTTTAACAACACCAAAAAATATGATCAGAAGCATAGTTTATTAACTTCCTTGTAGTTTATTCTTTCAGGAGATGTTTACTAGGATTTGCTCTTTGTAATGTATTGCCATTATTACAAATATGAAGCATGCTATTTTGCATAGCTCATCTGTAAGACACTTGAGATCACCTTCCCCATAGCCAACAGTCAGTTCAGTTCAGTTGCTCAGTCATGTCTGACTCTTTGTGACGCCATGGACTCCAGCACTCCAGGCTTCCCCGTTCATAACCTACTCCCGGTGTTGCTCAAACTCATGACCTTCAAGTTGGTGATGCCATCTAACCATCTCATCCTCTGTAATCCCTTTCTCCTGCCTTCAATCTTTCCCAGCATTAGGGTCTTTTCCAATGAGTCAGTTCTTCGCATCAGGTGGCCAAAGTATTGGAGTTTCAGCTTCAGCATCAGTCCTTCCAATGAATATTCAGGACTGATTGCCTTTAGGATTGACTGGTTGGATCTCCTTGCAGAACAAGGGACTCTCAAGAGTCTTCTCCAACACCACAGTGCAAAAGCATCAATTGTTCGGAACTCAGCTTTCTTTATAGTCCAACTCTCACATCCATACATGACTACTGGAAAAACTATAGCTTTGACCAGATGGACCTTTGTTGGTAAAATAATGTCTCTGCTTTTTAATATGCTGTCTAGGTTGGTCATAGCTTTTTTTTCCAAGGAACAAGCATCTTTTAATTTCATGGCAGCAGTCACCATCTGCAGTGATTTTGGAGCCCAAGAAAATGAAGTTCCCACAGCCAACAGAGAGTGAGCATTTCAAAACACAGCTTCTGGTTGTATTCTTTGCCTTTGCCTTTCAATGGCTCTTTCAGGATAAAATCCAATCCTTCAGGATAAAATCCAAAGGCCTGACACTCAAGGACTTTTTTTCAATCTATCTTTCTTCCCCAAAATTTCTTCCTCCTCTTTCCTCCCATATGTCAGACGTGAATCTTTACAAACTTCCCCTTTGCCTATCTGGGGAGCTCCTACTCATCCTTCAAGCTGTCTTGAAGATGTGACCTCTTCTAGGAACGCTTCCAGAATGCCACCAGCCTGAATTAATAGCACCTTCCGGTCTATTATTCCAATACCAATCCTATGCTCAGTGAATGATTTTCACCTTTATACTTCTGACAATCCCATGAAGTAGGGGATGTCATCAAGTGCTTGTGTTCAAAACTATTGAGGACCACTGTGATCCCCGCTCTCAAGGAGCTCAAGGTCTAGGGAAAGAGGACCTGTAAATACCCCTAACAGAGGGTGACAGGGATCGTGGCAGATGAGTGTGCATAAGGAACCCAGAGATGGCACATGTTCTGAATTGAGGGGAATTGTATAGGAAAGTGTGGGGTCAGTGCCATCAGTTGACCTTCATCCCCAGCACTCATATCATCCTTCCTTGGGCTCTGTCCTCTCACTGACCAGATCATTTCCCCCTTTGGCTAGTCAGTTGCAGGGCTGGGACATATTTTGACGGAGCACAGGAACGCTGTATTTTATGTCCAAATGGAACCTTCCCAAACGAGGAAGGGCAAATTATATGCGAACCATGTCCAAGACCAGGAAGTCCTGGGACCCTGAAGACCCCAGAAGCTTGGAATGTGTCTGAATGTGGAGGTAAGAATCCTGTCTGTCCCTTCCTACTCCTCCAGTCTCTGAAATCATTGTTGAGACAGAAGGCATAAATAACATCTTAATGCAGAAAATGTGTACTGCACCATGGAATTCCTACTGGTAGAAACTTTATTGGGCTCATCTTATTTGCTGAATAAATAAATGAAGACCTGATATAATACATTGGCAGAGAAAAAGTGTATATGTTGCAATTGCATGTTTCATCATTGTAAATAAGTACCTTCTGAGACCTGAGTGATCAACCAGTGTGGAGGGACTATCTGAAAGTGTCAAAAAATGGAGAAAGTAGCTCTGATTATTTCCAGCTTTCATCTCAAAGTCATAGCTTATTGATTTTTTTTTTAATTGGAGGATAATTACTTTACAGTGTTGTGTTGGTTTCTGCCGTACAATAACGTGAATCAGCCATAAGTATACATATATCCCCTCCCTCTTGAACTTCCCTCCCACCTCCCACCCCGTCCTATCCCTCTAAGTCATCACAGGGCACCAAGTTGAGCTCCCTGAGATATATAGCACCTTCCCAGGAGCTATTTTACATATGGTAATGTTTATGTTTCAATGCTACACTTTCAATTTGTCGCACTCTCTCCTTGCCCTGCTGACTTTTTTTAAAGTGTGCATCTGGCTATTTTGTTAAAACTCCGTGAAGAGTTTTTAATAATCTTCTGTAAAATATTAACTCTGGAGCCACACTTACTTGGGTTCTGTGGGCCTTTTTCCTAGTTACTGGGAATGTCTTTATTAAACAGTAGAAGGGCCAGCTGTCCTGACACTCTGTGGGCTCAAATGGATGGTGTGATTTGATCTGGCGAATTTTAGGTGATGTCCAGGGCTGAGTGCACTGGGGCCTCAGCGGCCCTGCCTCTCTTTCTAGTGACCCCTGGAGCCAGTTTTAGTTCCCACCTTAATGACTCCAAACTCAGCTACAGGACCTTTTCTGATTTAAAAATCAGATCCTCAGATTGACTGTGTGACTCCTAGCCTCAACTTTGGCCTGTTATGAAATCCTAGAACCAATGGTAAGATTGATAAGGAGGTACTTTGGGGGCATCTGTTCACACTTGTATGTGATCTCAATAATATACATATTTATAGTAAATAAGAAAACTAGTAATAATAATTTATTGAATACTTACCTGTGTCAGGCATCATGAAGGCATTCGTGGATAGTTCAGTGAATTACTCATGTGGTTGTTGTATCACTACAAAAACTTTATGAGGTTAAAGTGACTCATTCAAGGTCACACAGCCAAAGAGTAGAGGATTTAGAATCAGAACCCAGGTCTGACAGAATCCAGACTCCTCCCTCAGGTATATTTGTTAAATATTGTTATAGCTATAACTTATGGTTAGAGTGAAAACTAATAGAGGAGAGAGGATTAGGAATGTAAGAGACAACAGATTTCTTTTTATAGCATCTTGCTAATGACAAGCTAATTCCTAAGTAAATATATGCTTTTAGAAATCCTTTGGTTTATGGCTGCGATTCTTGTCATAAACTAAAATAAATAAATAAGGTGTTTAAGGCTTCCCAGGTGGTGCAGTGGTAAGGAATCCACCTGCCAGTGCAGGAGACTCAGGAGACCTGGGTTCAGTCCCTTGTTTGGGAAGTCCCCTGGAGAAGGAAATGGCAACCCACTCCAGTGTTCTCACCTAGAGAATCCCCGTGGACAGAGGAGCCTGGCAGGCTACAGTCCATGGGGCTGCAGAGTTGGACATGACTGAGCGACTGAGCGCGCACACACACACACACACACACACACGTGTTTAGATAAATGCCCCTGGGTCCCTGTGTTACTGTGGATGGGATTGGCTGTATTTAGTAGACTAAATGAGGGAGGCCAGGACACTCCTCAGTGTAAGGAGATGTAACTTGGTAAATATAACTGGTAAAAACTGGTAGACCCTTCCATAACCAAGAGTCTTTTTATCCCAGGATGTAATCAGCTGGGTGACTGCAGGCAGAGAACCCTCTCTCTGGGGGCTCCAGCACTGCAGTGGCTGCCTGGGCCCAGGTAGTCCTCAGCCGGCAGCATACTCAGGCCTCCTCCATACTTCAGAAGGGTCAACGCTTGTCTCCATCTTTGCCCTGTGGCTAAACATTAGGCACCCACATACCACTTCGTCGGGGTCAGCTGGAGGGCAGGACAAGGCTTCTGCTTGCTGAGGTGGGAGCTGAGGTCAGCGCGGGCGGACAGGCCTGACCACATCTCTCTGATCTCACTTGCAGAGAGGTGGGGCAGGCGCTCCAGCGAGGCCTTGCTCACCTAGGGTCCTTCCTCCCCCAGGTCTGTGCCAACCTGGTGAATACTCTGCGGATGGCTTCACACCCTGCCAGCCCTGTGCCCGGGGCACATTCCAGCCTGAAGCCGGCCGCACTTCCTGCTTTCCCTGTGGAGGGGGCCTCCCCACCAAACACCCTGGAGCCACTTCCTTTCAGGACTGTGAAACCAGAGGTGAGGACTTGGCAGCTTGCCTTTTCCCCAAGTGGAATTTTCCTTTTGAGGACCAAGGAGTGTAGTACAGCTCTGATCAAGCCCAGCCCGAGGCGCCCTGTGTGGAACTCAGTGGCAGAGAGCTTAGATCCCCAGGGTGACTCATTCCTGCAGGATGGGCAGGGAGCACAGGAACTGCCCAGACACGGGCCTCCTCGCCCTCCCACCGTGGCCCCTTTGGATGGGGCTGACTGCAGGGAGACCAGGGAGAAGCACACAGGTTTAGTCCGCAGGCTCCCTCTGCTCCTTCCTTCCAGGATTCCTCTAGCGCTTCACCCTTTCCTAGAGCTCCCTGCTCCAGAACAGACCCTGCACCTCCTCTGGAGCCTTACCCGCCTCCTGCCAGAGTTCAGCCTGGAGCCTGGGGTCAGTTCTGTGCCCCTCCATGCTCACAAGCTGCTGTGCGTTAAGACAGAGCTGTGAACATTCCTGTCTGATGGCACAGACCCTAAACTCAGAAGATATACCCGTACCTCATTCCCTTTGTAACTTTCTCAGTGTCATGAGCCACAGGTCCCACCCAAGCTGGCTATTTAGAGAATTAAGTGTTGATTAGCCCCAGATTAGTAGGAAAGCAGTACTTCATTTGGGCATAAACATTTCTTTCATGAACTGTGAAATTTCTTGTGTTGCATTTGATAAAAATAGTCTTTTGTTGTTGTTGTTCTCTCCACCCTCCCCCACTCCTGCAGTTCAGTGTTCACCTGGACATTTCTACAACACCACTACTCACCGATGCATTCGTTGCCCAGCAGGAACATACCAGCCAGAATTTGGAAAAAACCATTGTGTTTCCTGCCCAGGAAATACCACAACTGACTTTGATGGCTCCACAAACATAACCCAGTGTAAAAGTAGGTTTCTCTCTAAGGCTTTTTACGGTGGTGCTTAAGAGGGCAAGTGCCTGGGCCTACCTGGGGGTGGGGGATGGCAGGGGTCCTTGGTTCATTCGGGACCATGGAGCCACTCTTAGCCCTGCTCAGGGCTCTGCTGATCAGCGCTGGACCCTCAGATGCTCACCTGTATTTATCCAGTCTACTTCTCCAGACAGGCAAGCTGTCCTGGCTGTAATTTCCTGCTAAGGGCAAAATGTCAGGTCAGCCCTGTTCAGCAAGCACTGTTTGAGGATCTGTAATGTGTCAGGCACTGCAGGCAGAATAAGTCCTTGATTCGGCAGCAGCACCCGCTGTGGGATTGCGGAGGAAGGAGCCACTCCCTCTGTCTGGTGCTGTGCTGTGCTTAGTCGCTCAGATGTATCCGACTTTTTGTGGCCTCATAGACTGTAGCCCACCAGGCTCCTCTGTCCATGGGGATTCTCTAGGTAAGAACACTGGAGTGGATTGCCATACTCTCCTGCAGGGGATCTTCCCAACCCAGGGATTGAATTCAGGTCTCCCGCATTACAGTCGGATTCTTTACTGACTGAGCCACCAGGGGAGCCCCCCTCTGGAGAGATGAGGATAGGCTTCAGGAGGGTAGGAGAAGGTTTTGATGGCGAAAGTTGGCGGGGAGCAGGAGAATGAGCCTCAGGCCCAGGAGAGCAGCTAGGAGGAAGCACAGACTCAGGAGAGTAAAAGGCTTTGTGGGAGGAAACCTCTGGACCTGATCATGGAATGTGCTGAAGGGAGTCTGAGCAGACCAGAAAGGGAGGCCTTATTGACCAGAAAAGGAAGAAAAAGCACAGCCTAAAAGTTGAGAGTTATGTTTTACTCGGTGCACCAAACTGAGAACTTAAGCCTGGAATGCAGCCTCTCTGATAAGAAACTGCTCCAAAGAGGCAAGGGAGGAGCCAGGATACACAGCAGTAAAGAGAGACCATGTCATCGGAGCATCAAAAGAATACTGTTAATCAAAGAAAACCAGACATCTCAAGTTAAGGAATTTAACACTTTTCTGTGTATGGGAAGATGCAAGCGTCTGGGCTCACTGATATCATTCCTTTGATATGCACCTCAGCTATCTGGGGCCAGTGCCCTCTGCTTTCTCATCCTGAGTCTCCTCGGGGTGTATCCTAGGGGTGCCTGCAGTGTCTCATGGCTTGATGGCCACAACATCCTTTGTTTACTGCTATGGCAGGCAGCATTGTTTCACTGTAGTCTTGACTGCCAGGCTAGAGAGTTTGGTTTGTATTCTGTAGGAATGGAGAGGTAAGTCATTCAATGACTTGTAGTGTGGTTTGTTTGATTGTTGTTTCTAACCACCATGTGAAATTCTCTAGTAAAGGCCAAAAGACAATCTTAGCTGATTCAGTGTCATTAAGACTGCAATGGAGGGGAGCAGAAGGCCTCCCCAAACTGGAAGAGTAGGGGATTGGAGGGGTGAATCATTGTAATTTATGACTGGAAGAGTATCTAGTTTTCTCTCTATCCCAACAAAGTCCTTTTAATAACATCCTCATAAGTGCTGTCATCTCTTTTTGAACATTGTCCTTAGCAGGAAGCTTACTGTTGCTCATGATATCCTAGTCTGTTGGTAGATTAGAGTTGGTCAGTTCACAGTGTGAGAAGACAAGAATTTTTCTCCCTACCAAGATGAATCTGTTTCCTTGTCCTCCCATCCCTGGTCCTCAATTGTTTCTTAGTTCCTCAGGAGGCCAGTCAGGCTCAGAGGTATCCCGGGCTCTGCCCTCCCCCTTTTCTCTTCCAGGAACAAAAGCCTATTTATTTATTTTTTTCTGTCGAGAATAATAAATCCAAGTTACAACTAGAAACGTCAAAGGTAGTCCCTTCAAGATCTTCTTGAACACATTCACCTGATAGTTTTAAACAATAAGCTCCTTAGGGGCAAGAATATTTGTTGGATGAGTGGAGAGATAGTGAAGATGTGGCTGAGGTGGAGCGTGTGTGTGTGTGTGTGTGTGTGCCCACAAGTGTGTATTCTCCTTGTCTTTGGTGCCAGAGGCGAATATGTATCACGCCTCATACTGACTGATAGCTGAATGGAATTCTCTTCCCCGCTTGAAAAGAAAACATGGTCTTGACCAGAGAGGAAAGTGAGAGTATGGCTGTCAAGTCTTCCTCAGAGATGTCTAGGAAAGGGTAGAATACCCTCTGCTGAACAGTCAGCTCTGTTTTCCCTATTTTGACAGACCTGCCAGTTCTGTACCACCCGTTCCCCCAGCGCTTGGACTTTGTAAACAGAACAATAAAAAATAAAGTTATTCTGTTGTTTCACAAACACCTGCCTCTGACCTCAAGATGAGGAGAAAATGATGCCCTGGGAACTCAGAGGGGTGGGCTCTGAGTGGAAAGTTAATGTACTTGGGCTCCCAGCAGGGGTTGGGGTGTTGGGTGGGTGGGGGCTGGTACAGACTTGTTCCCACAATGATGTCACTTTCAGGCCCTGTTCCTCTATGGCAACAGAGATGCAGTGGTTCTCCCTAGCCAAGCAGGTGCTGGCCGTGACGCGATGACGACTCTGTGATACTTTCATGACGCGTAGCATTTCCTCTTCCAGACAGAAGATGTGGAGGGGAGCTGGGTGATTTCACCGGATACATCGAATCCCCAAACTACCCAGGCAATTACCCAGCCAACACAGAATGTACCTGGACCATCAATCCACCCCCTAAGCGCCGCATCTTGATTGTGGTCCCTGAGATCTTCCTTCCCATAGAGGACGACTGTGGAGACTACCTGGTGATGCGGAAAACCGGTACGTCTCACCCCTCTGCTCCGCTCCCTTTCTGAGGCCAGCAGGGAAGCCTGATGGCACACTACCTGGCTTTATTATTTTTAAAAAAATTTTTTTATTGATGTAGAGTTGATTTACAAGATCATGTAAGTTTCAGGTGTACAAAACAGTGATTCAGATTCTTTTCCCTTGTAGGTTATTACATAACATTAAGTATAGTTCCCTGTGCTGTACAATATGTTCTTGTTGGTTATGCCTGACTTTAAATGGGAGATGCAGGCCTAGGATGCCACCCTGTATTAGAACAGAGATGAGACATGAGTTTATAGAGTTTGCCAAGAAAACAAAATTTAGACAAAACCACAGGTTGAGACCTCCTGTTGAACCCTAAAGGAAGCAGTCCTGCAGGTCGGTCTCCCCTCTGTGCTCACTGGGAAACCTTTTTGGCAAGGACACAGTGTCAGTGAACCTCAGGGAAGGCTGACTTCAGGACTCCAGACACAGGCCTTACCCTGGGAAACAACTCATGGCTTGAGCACTGACCAAGACCAAGGGCCTGGTCCAGCCAGGAGGGACCCACCTCCTATCCTGATGCATGATCCGGTTTCCATAAAAGGATACTGCCATCAACACAGCTTAGAGGCAGCACAGTGAGGGGGCTCTGCAGCTGGACTTCCTGGGTCAGAAGCCCAACTCCGCCTCTTATTAGTTCTATGATCTTGGAATACATTCTGGAACTTTCTGCCTCAGTGTGCTCATCTGTTAAAATGAGGATAATAATAGTTGCTACCTCATAGGGTTGTCATGAGGAATAAATCAGTTTATATTTGCAAAGCACTGAGAAGAATAATGACACACCAGGCCACCACATAGTGTTTGCCTTTCTTATTAGTGGTTACAATGCCTGAAGTCAGGTGTGAGTCTGAATCCTGATTTTTTCACATACTGGCTGTGTGACCCTGTGTGATCCATACACTTAATCTCTCTATAAGTGAGGGAACCACTGCACCAACTTCCTCTTGTTTGGGGGAGGGCAGGGTTAAGTGAGACAAAGTCCATAAAGTGCAGAGCACACTGCCTGGTCCTAGGAAGCATGCATCCAATGGTGGTGATTATCACTAGGTTACAGCAGGTTGGCTCTAGAATGTGAGGGCCCTAACTCAGCTCCTGCATGACTGCTGCAGCCTGAGCTGCTGCTGTTTGCCAGCCAGGGGCCTTGCAGTGAGCTGTCCCTGGGGCCCACCATCACCAACTGCATCCATTAGATATCCAGTACTAGATTTCCAGTCCCTTCTGAGGACTCCACTGGTCCTGAAGAACCCTTGCACATGACTTGTTCTGTGGTGTGAGTATCTGAAAAGATGAGTGTCCATTGTCTGCAGGCTCAGTGGTGACTTGAACCCCATCCCCTCCAACTTCCCTTGGCAGCTTCATCCAATTCTGTGACAACGTATGAAACCTGCCAGACCTATGAACGCCCCATCGCCTTCACCTCCAGATCCAAGAGGCTGTGGATTCAGTTTAAGTCCAATGAGGGGAACAGCGCCAGAGGGTTCCAGGTCCCATACGTGACATACGATGGTGAGCACTGTGAAGCTCAGGCTGCAACATGTGTAAGGAGCAGCTCTGGTTTGAACAGAACCCACTCTGGGCCAGCTGGTGGAGTGCTGACAAGCACACGTGCTCAGCAATGCAGGCAGGTTATGGAGAAAGGACATTGCTGACTCACAAGTGCCAGTTTCTAAGCAGGCATTTGGGGACACTAACTACAGCATGAAAAGATGTTTGAAAAAGTAAATAAAAGTGAACATAGCTTGATGGGGTGGAATGTGGGCGTTGGAGTTAGGCAGGTTGGGTATTATCTCTTTTGTGACTTTCTGATGCTACCAACTCTAGGCTTCATTTTCTTAATATGTAGATGAAGATAGATAATCATTAGACTTAATGTGAGAGTTCAGTGAGATAATCCATAAAGAACTTGGTTTGGTGCCTGGCACATAGTAAATGCTCAGCAAATATTAACTTATTATGATTGTGGCTTTTCTTATATGGAATCCTAAAAGTGAAAGTGAAGTCGCTTAGTCGTGTCTGACTCTCCGCCACCCCATGGACTGCAGCCTACCAGGCTTCTCTGCCCAGGGGATTTTCCAGGCAAGAGTACTGGAGTGGGCTGCCATTTCCTTCTCCAATATATGGAATCCTAAGGATGGGGAAAAAGACCTGAGTTCTGGTCTTGTCTCTACCACTAATTTGCTATTTAACTTTGGGCAAGTTTTACTCTGGTTTTACTTTCTTCTTGTTAAATGAAGGGGTGGCCGATGTGAGCCCTGGGGCCCTATCTAGTTCTGAGACTTGGGTGACAAACATTTACTAGGAACACAAAATGAACTAGATTCTGCCCTGGAGGGACTCATAACCTAGTGGGGGAAGAGTCATCTATTCATCATGAACTTATTCATTCATCCATGCAGCAAATATTTAATGAGCATCTACTATGCCAGGTATTGAATGAAGTGCTGGAGACAATGTGGTTAGTGACAGTCATAAAATGTATATGGTATCATAGATGCTACAACAGGGCATGTACAAGGTTCTGTGTGAGGACAGAGAAGGGGCTGCAGTTCACTTTGCATGGGGTTTTGGAGAGAATAAAGCAAAGTCTCAAGAGGTTTGAGTCAAAAGAACTTATAAGTTTTCTTGTAAGTGGCAGGAAGAACATTCAGGAAAAGGAAATGACATAGGTGAAATAATGGAGTACTTGGCATGTTGGGGACTGATGATTTGGCCAATTGGTAGGGTGCATGGGGCTCAGCAGTGAGAGATGAGAGTAGTAGGAGGCAGACTTAGGCTATGACGAGGCTCAAGTGCCAAGCTCAGAAGGGTAGACCTAATCTTACAGGGAGCCACTGAAGGTATTCAGGCAGACAAGTACGAAAAGTTGGTGTTTTGGAAAAACAGTATTCTATGGAGTTCCTAAGAATACCTCACATAGTTTATTTCTAGCGTGTGATAAAATCATCATCCTGGTGCCTGAAACATGTCAGACACCAAGACAAGGGATCTCAGCATCAGACTCCTAGGTGGACACACGGCTCCCATGTGGCTCTGCCAGGAGACAGAATACCTCCTCTCCCCACGGGCAGCCAGCCCACAACCGCCCCCATCTGGGATAAGGCAGGCACCCAAAAACCACGGAGAAGCCAAAACAAATGTCACCAGAGCTCACACACTTCAGTTCAGGCTGTTCTCAACTCTGTGACACATGAAAACATCTTGCTTTTTAATTAAAAAAATTCAAATAAAGAGTTGTCGCTTGAACCGGAGAAAATTACATATAACTCTGGTTAGGCTCATGAGAATGGATCTGGCATGTCACAGCAGAAAATAGTTGAAAAATGCTGCTTTGGCCTTGCAGAAGCCTCTTAGTTCCTCACCAGAGCCTATTTAATATTTTTTCTCAACATATATTTCAGACAAATCTGATATCTGGTTCTAAACCCAGAAGAACAGCATTTGCATTGAGAAGGGGCAGCCGAGGCTGCTACAGACTAGCCCACTGGCCCGGAGAAGCAGGAGGGCCACAGCTGTGCTAACGTGTGCTGAACTTAGGAGGACCAGTGCCAAGTGCCCTTGACCCGACACATTCCTCCCAGCCGCCCAGGCAGTAGATGCAACTGCATCTCTTTCCTGATTTATAGATGAGGCCGCTCTGGCTTAGAGATTTAAGTAAGCGCCTGAGGACACAGGAGGACAAAGTTGCAGGGCCTTTGCGGCTCCTGAGTTCTTTCCTACAACACTGGAGTGCTTTTCCGTGACAACTGGAGCAAGTGAGGAGACAGTCATTCTTAAAAGCAGAGGAAAGATTTAAAAAAAAAACAAAGATGGTGCTTTTGAGGACTTCCCTAAATGGTCCAATGGTTAACGCTACATGCTCCCAACCTAGGGCTCCCAGGTTCAATTCCTGATCAGAGAACTAGATCCCACATGCTGCAACTCAGACCTGGTGGAGCCAAATAAATAAATAAGAATTTTTAAAAAGACGGTGACCTGGAAGCATTTGGGATAGTGGCAGACAGCTCTCCAGCATAGTGACAGGCATTCCTAATGGTAAACTCCTTATCAGAAGGGGGCTAATTTTCTGAGGTAGAAACTCTGCAGCAGAGGAATTCAAGATTAAAAGAAAAATGTACCCTTATTCATATTTTATAGATTTTGTATTCACTAAAATTAAAGGATAAGAAGAAAGAGACCAAATGAACAGAGGACCAGAGAATTGTACAAACATGTATTCAATTAGTAATTATGAGTATTATCCTATGAATTTCCATTTCCCATCACTTGACTAGGGGAAACTTTTTTGAGAACTCCTCCCACACAGTTCCAGTGATGTTCTTATGATTTGTTTGGTTTTGTTGCACATGATATGCATACAAAGAGGCACCTTTTTTCTGCCTGGAATTTTAAAGAGATTGTGTCTTGCATATGCTTGATTTGAATTATGACTGTAGGAAATAGTCTAGACTTTGAAACGCTACTGCATCAAGGAGGATGATGACTGAGAATTGAGCTTTCGGATTTAGCGACGTGAAGGTCATTGGGGACCCCAACAAGCAGTTTTGGGGGAGTGGTGGGGGCCACTGTTGACTGGAATGGGTTTGAGAGAGAAAGAAAAGAGTAGAATTGGAGGCAGTGATTGCTGACAATTCTTTCAAGGAGTTTTACTACAAAGAGGAGCAAAGACATGGGATGGAAGCTGGAGGGAGAAAGGAGGTCAAGAGAAGGTTTTTAAAAAAGCAAAAAACTAGAGACACAACAGCATGTTTGTTATGCTGATATGAAAGACTAGCAGAGAGAGAAAAGTCATAACATAGGAAAGGAAGGGCAGAATGACAGGAATAACGCCCTTGATTTGGTAAGAGAAGAGGGACCTGCTGAGCAAGGTGGAGGGAGGAGCCTTGGCTGGATGCTCTGAGGTTTCATCCAAGGGAAAAGGAACAGGAGAGGGTGTACAGGTGCTGGTGGGTGACAGGAGGTGGGGGAGAGTCTGTGGGAGTCTCTGATTGGCTTCTTAGTATCAGAGGGGTCATTATTTTCATGGCAGCTGTGTTACCCACCAGTGTTCTTGACCTTCCTCAATCATTCCTAGAGGCCAGACAAGAAATTCAGGCAAGGCTTTACTGGGGCCCTGCTGCAGCGGCCAGGGGAGGGAGTACAAACAGTTTCCCTTGATTGCTTGCTCACTGCTCCCTGCTCCCCGAGAGAGTGCAAGCTTGTTCCTTATATGGGGTAAGGGTAGGGATGTGTCCAGGGGTCAAGCTGGAGGGGTGGCTTAGGTGTTTTGCCCACCCCTTTAGTGGTGGTGTATGCAGAGGGCATGAGCAGTACCCTGCTTTTGCTCCAGGCTCTTCAAAAGTGGCAGTTGGGTTTTTTGGTCTCCTTGTATCTTTGGGGTCCAGAGTTTGCCCCAACTGAATATGCATGCTGTTATTTTTTGTCCCATTCAGTTTCTTTGTATTTTGTTCCAGGAGTGGTGTGTCTAGGTGCAAGCATTGCAGCACTGCTGCACAGGGCCCCAGGTCCCAGCCTGTCTCAGTTGCAGAAAGGGCATTTCTCAGAACATTATTTGAACAATTAAAGAAAAAAGTGAGCTTGGAAATAACTAAACCATAGCAATGAAAAATATGTCCTTTTTTCAAACAGAGGATTACCAGGAGCTCATTGAAGACATAGTTCGAGATGGCAGGCTTTATGCATCTGAGAACCATCAGGAAATACTAAAGGTGAGTATGTACCTAGGTGGGCATGGCAGTTACCCATGCCACAGAGGAAAGTTTCCTCTCCCACCTCGTTGCTGCCTTTCAGACACTGAGCCTGCTCTGGGCTGAGGGCAGTTTTGTATCTTCACCAGACTTAGTTTCTTTAAAAAACAACAGCAACAACAACAACAACAGGGAATTGTTTTTAGTGTTGTAGAGTGTTTGTTGTGTTGTTTAGTCGCTAAGTCGTGTCTGAATCTTTTGCGACCCCATGGACTGTAGCCCCACCAGTCTCCTCTGTCCATGGCATTTTCCAGGCAAGAATACTGGAATGGGTTGCCATTTCCTTTTCCAGGGGAGCTTCCCAACCCAGGGATGGAACCCATGTCTCCTGCCTTTGCAGGTGGATTCTTTACCACTGAGCCACCAGGGAAGCTGTTTTTAGTGTTGTCAAGTAAAGTTGTATTTTTTAATCTAGAAATGTGAGGAAGAGCAGTGGGAAACTTGTTTATCATAAACCCAAGCCGGCATCAAATCATGTTTTCATGTTTATTCTCCAAATAGTTAAAGAGTCTTGGCTCCTTGTTCATCCTTCAAGCCTGAAGTTCACCAACTTTCAGATATTTATAAGTATAAATAAACACTTGCCATATCACTAACCCTATAAATATTCCCCAAATTCCAAAGTTATCATGTGGTTTAGAAAAACAATTTTTTACATATTAAGTTTTCTGTTATAAAACTAATATGTGCTTTTTAAAGATCCTTGGGGAAAAAAAAAACTGGAAAAAAGGATAAAAATCAGAGGAAACAATTTTCACAAAGTGTTTTTCAGCTGATCAACTTACTGTCTCACAGTGGGACATTATAGTTCCATTGGCAAAATGTCATCATGTTTAAATATTTTGGCCCAGTAACAAAAATTCTGTTCTTTTTAGGATAAGAAACTGATCAAGGCTCTGTTTGATGTCCTGGCCCACCCCCAGAACTATTTCAAGTACACAGCCCAGGAGTCCCGGGAAATGTTTCCACGATCCTTCATCCGATTACTCCGTTCCAAAGTGTCCAGGTTTTTGAGGCCTTACAAATAAGTCTGCCCATGTGCCACTTGACACAGTGTTTGGCCTGTGGGCTGGCAGGACACAGCCATCTGCTTCTAGTAGCAGTGACTGGTTAGAGTTCAATTTTTATAGATAATACAGATATTTTGGTAAATTGAACTTGGTTTTTCTTTCCCAGCATTATAGATGTGGAAAGAGAATGGGTTTGAGTCTTACCTGCTTCTCATTGGTGTAGGCAGCTGTCTTGGATACATCAAGGGCTGGCTGAGCTGAATTTCAGTCAACTTGAGTGAGACTCATCTGTCCTTCTCGGTCCTCACTCCTCTTTGAGGGGGCTGCCTTGTCTGAAACCTCAGCTTCTTCCAGCATAGCCTCCCTAAGGGAGTCCTCTGTACTCAGGTGTTGGCTCTGACCAGGCAGACCAGGAAAGGGGGAAGGGAGGGGAGGGGAGCCCTCCACACACCGCTCACCTCCCCCCTACCCAAGACATGGAAGGACCTGGTTTTCTCCACAGCCTTCTCCAGTCTGTGTGACTTAAATTTGATCCCAGCAGCTTGGATTCCAAGCAGTGCTCACCAAAAAATACTTAAAGCAGAAAGAATTAGAAATAAAAAGGTAGAAACTCAGCACTTCCACAGACATGTGGACCTGCCGATGACCTTCCATGTTGCCAGTTTCCATCTCGTAGCAAATGCACTGTGCTTCTCTTACAACTGCAGCTGTGCCTTCAGGGCTCTGCTCTTCTGGGCACCAAGGTAGGGCCTGAACAGTTCAGATCCGATGCGATCTCCTGATGGATGTGACTCCATCCATCATGAAAAGGAGATTCACACACCCTGAGTCAGTACCACCAAGGGTCCTCCTTCCACCTGGGCTTCCCACCACGGGGCGGTGGAAGTCCAGGCGGGAGGTGGTATGGCCCAGCCTGTCACGTTTGCCTTCCTTCCCCCGCTCCAAGCTCAGAGACCGACTGGTCTCCGCGGGCACGAGCTGCACGGCTCAGGGTGGCCTCACTCCCTTAATCGTCACACCACCGCCAGAAGCAGTTACACTAATCCCAGCCTCTGAGTACCACAGAATCGTCTCACTTTCAGTCAACACGGTGGGACCTCACAATCATTTTCTCCCACAGGAATCTGATTTTTTCAATACTATTGAATTTTTAAAAACCAAAATCCACAGGCAAAAATCTTATTACAGTGAATAAAAAAATTCTATCAAACAAGCTGCCATTTCCCTAATGAAAGGGTTGCCTACAGGCAACCATAGTGTTTTATTTCAGTAACACACTAACTCCACACACAATCAGTTCTCTACACCAAAGTACCAAAAAAATGATCAACAAATATTTCTGAAAAAAATGAAGGTTATTTCATTATTGAATTAACTTTTTACCTCAGTGATTTTTTTTAACCTATAAGCAATATTGATTTTTTTAAAGCCCTTAATCAAAGTTTTTTAATTTATCTGAATGGTCCTAAATACCCTTTTCTAAGTCTCTCATGAAAAACTTGAACATCTTCATTTTTAAAGGTATCATTAATACAAGTCCTTGGAATTTATAATGCTGGAACTTGGCCTACATTTCTGAGTCTGACTATGAGATGAAAATTCAGATGTAATATAACATGAGTTAGTGACCTGACCAATGGGGTGAGCTGAACTGCACCATTCTGTCCAAGCATGTTAATAACTATATGCTCAGGACTGTCTGGTTCTGTACTGCTGATTTCATAAGAAGGCAGCTGATGGCAGTACCTGGGGGTTGGAAGGAGGCTGCATGAACCTGGTCTCTGTGAAACATCCTCCAGGAGCTGGGACATGCACGAGCCACTGAGGCCCTCATCCAACTTCCTGTCTATACCCATCAACCACTCTGAGAGACTCTGTGGTCCTGTTGGAAGGCTGGTGGGCGGGGGCTACTCATACTATCTGCTAAATCAATAAATAGTTAACTAATATCACCTCTTTGCCTTAGGGTTGCACAGTGACAAGACAGACAAGGTCTTGTCATTTTAGAGCTTACCATTTAGGAGGAGGAGACAGACGATGAACAAATCAACATGAGAAGTATCAGCTAGTAGTAAGTGCTATGTTAAAAATTAAAATAGGTTAATATAACGGACAATGGTGTGGCTGCTTTAGGTTTGGGAATCGTGAGGGTTCTTCTGGGTTAAATGATATTTCAACTGAAAAAAAATGGCAAGAATCAGCCGTGGGCCAATCAGGGGGAGGAACATTCCAGAGAGAGGAAAGTCAGGTGCAAAGGCTATCCAGGCAGGAATAAGCACATGTGTGGATCACAGACTAGTGAGAAGTCAAGAGGTATGAGATGAGGCTGGGAAACTGGATAGGGCCAGAACACACTGGGCTTTGGAATCCAGAATGAGGGGTGTGGGTTTAATTCTAAATATGTTGTGAAACTTTTGGAAGGGGTTTAAACAGAAAAGAGGGGTGATCTGATTGATGTTTTTAAAAGAGAGCTCTGGTTACTATATGAAGAATAGGTTTTAGAAAGCAGACACGGAGGCAGAGAGCAGTTAACAAATTATTGCCACCAACCAAGCAGCCATCCAGTGAGAGGTGAGGCTGGCTGGGCAAAGGCAGTCATAGTGGAGAGGACAGAACAGAAGGATTGTGGACATGTTTTGGGAGAGAGTCCCCAGAACTTCCTGATGATGGGATGGACAGGAAAGGGAAAGATAGCAACTGAAGGTGAATTCTAGTTGCCCCAATAACTGGTTGATGAAGATTGCAGAAGGAGCAGGTTTGGGACATGTGACAGTTCAAAAACTTGTCTACAAATTCTCTGCTTCTTCCATGGAAAGTTGAGGGTCTTTTACCCCTCCCCTTGAATCTGGGATCTGTGACTGATGAACCAATACTCTATGGCAGAAGTAACATTTTACCAGTTTCTGGACCTGGGACTTAAGATACTGGCAATCTCTACTTCCTCTCCTTAGGAAACTTACTTGGCCCTCAGTCACTGTGCCTTGAGAAAGCCATAGCACCTGGTGAAGAGGACCCCCCCCCCCCCCCGGCCCCCATAGCCTAGCTGACTCTCAGGTGACAGCTAGCAAAACTTGTCAGCTAGGGGAATGAGCCACCTTAGAAATGGATCCTCCAGCTGATGCTTTGCTGGGCAGTTCCCACTGAACCATACCCAAATGACAGGTTTGTGAGCAAAATCAATGATCATTACTAAGTCATAGTGATTTATTATGCAATACAATGCTGGAAAAGAAGAGAAGGTCAAGAATTCAATTTTCGACCATTCAGAGTATGAGATGTCTATCAGGTAACCAAATAAAGAGTTCAAATAGGCACCTGGTTCTGCGAAGTCCCAGGAGAGCTCGGGGCTGGAATATGAATTTTAATGTCACAGGATAAAGGGTAAGACAGATTGAGGTCACCTGGGGAAAGTATGTAGATAAGACAAGGCAACTGTGAATTCTGGGGGTCCCCGTGTGGACACAGGGACAGAACTTACAGGAGCCATTGATTAAGTCAACAGGAAGAGGTCAGAGCTGAGCTCCGCCTTCTCAGAACTGAGTGGCAGGAGAGTCTGAACACGTCCTTCCCTCCAGCTGTGGATGCTGTTCTCGAGCCATTTACTGAAGTGCTGCTTTTGTGGCGGTAGCCACGTTCCCCTTGAGTTTCCAGTGCTAATAAAAGAGTGCTTGCCGCTTCACACAAACAGATGATCATCTTCACTTTGGAAAATTGCTTCCTCTGAATCACCCTCGCAGCTATTAAGTGTGTTGTCTGTAGGCACTCACTGGATTTAGGTTTGCAGGTGATTTTATAGCTGTCATGTGGAAACTTGGGAAAGGCAGCAGCTGCACAACACGAAGATTTGTGGATCTTTGCAGGAAGATGAGCCAGGGTTGCTGTCTGCTGCTCTCCACTGCAGACTCCTGCAGCCTGCTGGGAGGCAGGGGGCTCCCACACCCAGCCCAGCCTCCATCACCTCCTCAGCTCAGGAGACATGCCTCTGACTGGGGCTGTCAGTATCTCTGCTTCCTTTCACACAGCAGGATGGATGCTGGGAGCCTTACCCGTCTGCATCACTCTTGGTCAGTGTTTGGGAGTCACGTGGATTGGGTGGGGCTTGAGTAAAGCAGTTCCTTACCAAGTCAAGAGAACCTTGTCACCTGGGGCTTTCTTTCAGGCAAGGCATCAACTGACTCTGAACCCAGGTCCTGGGCATGGCCAGTAGCAGCCCATCCAGAAGAAATTAGAAGCCATGGTATTGCTTTTTCTCTGTGTCATCTTCTACTCCAGGGCTTGTGAACCCAGCTCAGGGGTGTCCTGGGTATTTGTGGTACTCTGCTTCCTTCTCCCTTTAGGCAGTCCTGATTGGCCTACAGGAGACCAACCTCAGGGCCCTGATAGCCCAACAAGGCTGCCTCTATGATTGACATCTACAAAGACATAAGTACCTAGAAGGGATCACTTTCCAGAGATCACAGTAGGATTGATATAGATTTAGAAAGTGAAACCACTCTAATTCACAAGCAGGATGCTGTAGTGGAATAAAACCTATCTGCCAGAAACAATGGTCATAAGTCATCAACACTTGATTTTCAGAGTAGCTCATTAGTGGAATGTACCTACAGACCTTAGTTTCTAATAATTCTTTGTTATGTGTTTGCTTATTCATTGGTTTATACATGTTTACTGAGGGCTTAAAAAGTATTTGGTATTGAGAAGCTGGTGATACTGTAGTGGGCAAGATGCTCTTGTGAAGTTTAGATTCTAGTTGGGGGGAAGAGAAAATATGCATATAGTAAAGTCAAGGGTGATAACTGTTGTAGAGAAAGTTTAAAAGAGTTGAACATGTAGAGAATGAGGAGGTGGTGGGAGGGAGTTGCTACTTTAGATAGGATGAGCTCATCATTGGAATCGTGAATCCAGTTCCCTCCCAGCGCACTGGCTCCTTAAACCAAGCCTGGCAGCACTGGCCCTGGCAAGTTTGTCTCCTACCCAGCAGGAGCTTGACAGTTGGTCTCAGGCCAGGCTGATCACAG